GAGAAAATAAACAAATGGGACTACATCAAAATAAAAAGCTTTTGTACAGAAAAAGAAACCATCAACAAAACAACAAGAAAGCCCACTGCATGGGAGAACATATTTGCCAATGTTATCATCGATAAGGGTTTAATCTCCAACATTTACTGGGAACTCATACAACTTAACAAGAGGAAGATAAACAACCCAATAAAAAAATGGGCAATGGACCTAGATAGATACTTTTTGAAAGAGAACATAAGAAATGCCAAGAGACATATGAAAACATGCTCAAAGTCACTAATCATCCAGGAGATGAAAATCAAAATGACAATGCAGTACCATCTCACACCTGTCAGAATGTCTGTCATCAAAAATGAACAAATGACAAGTGCTGGCGAGGATGTGGAGAAAAGGTGGGAATGCACTGCTGGTGGGAATGCAGACTGGTGCAGTAACTGTGGAGAACAGTATTGAGTTTTCTCAAAAAACTAAAAATGGAACTCCTATTTGACCCAGTGATCCCACTTCTAGGAATATATCCCAAGAAACTAGAAACACCAATCTGAAAGGATATATGCACACCTATGTTCATAGCAGCACAATTTACCATAGCTAAGATTTGGAAACAGCCTAAGTGCCCATCAGCAGATAAATGGATTAAAAACCAGCGGTACATCTATACAATGGAATACTATGCTGCAGTAAAAAAAAAAAAAAAAGAATTCTTACCATTTGCCACAGCATGGATGGACCTGGAGAGCATTATGCTAGGTGAAATAAGCCAGTCAGAGAAAGATAAATATCACATGATCTCACTCATTTGTGGAATATAATGAACAACATAAACTGATGAACAAAAACAGATCCAGAGACAGAGAAGCATCAATCAGACCTTCAAACCTCAGAGTGAAGATAGGGGAGGGTGGGGGTAAGGGAAAGAGATCAACCAAAGGACTTGTATGCATGCATATAGGCCTAACCAATGGACACAGACACCAGGGGGGTGAGAGCATGAGTGGGGGGTTGGGGGCCAATCAGGGATAAGGACACATATGTAATACCTTAATCAATAAAGAATAATTTTTTTTAAGTACAGTACATTAAGATGAAACATGGAATAATGAGAAACTCCTATTAGGAAAAAGTAAAAATACAATTGCATATATTAGAAATATTAAAACACTATACATTAGGCAAATGACAAAAAAATAAATAAACTAGGAAAATAATTTTCTTTCTTTTCTCCCAGTGTACTTTGTGCCAGTTAAAATGTTCTGTGATGGATATGCTGCTACAGTAGTTTTCAAAGTGAGGTTAGCAGGGGAAACACATCAAGATGCTTGTTAAACTTGTTTTAAATCTTTATTGTTGAAAGTATTACAGTTGTACTCTTTTTATCCCCATTCACCCCTTTTAGCCCACACCTGCCCCTTGCCCCACACCTTCACCACAGTATTATCAGTGTCCATGTGTTATGCATACATGTGTTGGGGTCCAGCCCCAGCAGGTCCAGGGGTTCTCAAAGGTGGGGATGGAGTCAGCAAAGAAGGAAGGAGATGGAGGCTGCATTCAGTTGATCAGCATAGTTGGATTCTCTAGCCAGGTTCGGTTGATCAGCATAGCAAGGTTCTCCAGCCAGGTTCTATCCAGGTTCTGTAGCCAGGTTCTGTCCAGGTTCTCTTGCCATGTTCTCTCGCTAGGTTCTCCAACCAGGTTCTGTCTAGGTTCTCTAGCATTCAGTTGATCAGCATAGCGAGGTTCTCCCTCCAGGATCTCCAGCCAGGGTTTGTGTAGGATTTCCAGCCAGGTTCTATCCAGGATCTCCAGCCAAGTTCTGGTCTAAAGTACATATTTCAATGGTTCTCAGTATAATCACGGACAGGTGCAACCATCAATACAATACATTTTACATTTGCATCACCCCCAAACCCGTTAGCTATCAGCCTTCATCCCCCGCCCTAGGCAACCGCCAACCCACTCTCTGCTCCTGTAGCTGAGCCTGTTCTGGGCAGTTCACAGAAGTGGAATCACACTATTAAGAACAGTATGCTATATACGCCAGGTCCCTTGAAACATATGCTGTGCAGATGTTTCTTCCCTACAGCGACTGTGTCAAGCAGCAAGGATGGACCAGCTTCCAGCATACATGCATACAAGTTCTTTGGTGAATCTCTTCCCACAAAGCTTCCCTCTGAAATATTTTCAAATAAAAGGTAGGGAAGAAATGAATATACTTATGTATAAGATACTTTGAATGAAAGCAAATACCCCTATTGAACACAAAGTGAATGACAATTTTACAAAATAAAATATTGCTCATAAACTAAAAGGTACCTAACCTTCTTAAAAGTCAAATAAAGATGAATTAAACAATATTACCATGTCATTTTACCATTATATACATTGACCATCAACACCATGTATCACAAAATTTTTAATAGTGCACATTTAGAAATTAACTAAATATATGGTAATGAGAAACTAGAAACATAAATTATGGTATATCTATAGATAGGAACTATATGCAGCAATTAATAGTTCATGTATACAGTTATAATGTTATCAATAGTGTATGATATTTATACAGTACTAGAAGCCTAGTGCACAACATTCATGCACT